TAGTGCAACGCCTTTGTTGCATTGTCTGGCATTCTACTTAGCTTGTACATATGCCCAAAATATATCCTTATGCTTGTTTACATCGCGAGGAAGTGGCGGCATTAAACAGGGTCCGCCAAGCAGCTTCAGCCCACTTGCCCCACCAGCCACAGCCCCTCGTCGTCAGCGTAAACATTGAAGGAGCTCACTTTAACTTCCCCGTTCACCACGGCCAAACTTGCCCAAATTGCATGAATTTGTAGTAAACCAAAAATCGCAAGGAACTCGTTACTACAATGCAGTCAGGCATCTCCGGTACGCTTTATACACGCCCGATCGCTCTGAACCACCTGCTCACCTATGAACAGCTTCCCAGGAGCTCAAGGCCGCGCTCGGAAGCCTGATTACCTCGAGCTCACAACGCGGTCTCCTAGCGACCATACAAAATGAGACCATTGTCCCCGGCGCAACAATCCCATCTTCCTCGTCATCATTTAAATCCGATCTCTCCAACCTCGAATCACACGTCACGCCCAATGCCGCACTCTACATCCTCCTCCGCCGCGCCGACTCGCTCTCGTCGCCCGACAAATCACTTGTGGCAGTCACATATGTCCCCAATGCCGCCCCCGTGCGCCAAAAGATGCTGTTCGCTTCCACGCGATTGACGCTGGTGCGCGAGCTCGGCGGCGAGCATTTCCCTGAAAGCGTCTTCACGACCGAAGCGAGTGAATTGACAGCGCAAGGATGGGAAAAGCATCTCGCCCATGAGGCTGAGTCGAATCCGCTGACGGCGGAGGAGCAATCCCTCCAGGATATTAAGGAAGCGGAGGCGCTGGAATCGCGGGGAACGAGGGGACAAGGACTTGCGCAGGGTGGCAGGATTGCGATTCGTGCGGATGGGGACATCACAGGTGCGCTGAAGGCGTTAGGGGAAGGCGGGGATAACCTCGTGCAATTGAAGATGGACGGCGCGACGGAGACGCTGCAGCTTGTGTCGTCCAGTACTGCTACCCCGTCGACACTCTCATCACAAATCGATACTAAGGAGCCTCGGTATGCATTCTACCGACATGACGATCCTGCCGCGTCGATAGTCTTCATATCGACGTGTCCATCGGCCGCGAAGATCAGGGAAAGGATGCTGTATGCGGCGAGTCGCGGGAATGTGGTTAGTCTTGCACAGAACGACGCCGGGCTGAAAGTCGCAAAGAAACTCGAGGCGACAAATCCGGATGAGGTTACGGAGCAGGTGATTAGGGATGAATTCAAGGTCGAAGAGGTGGTTAAGAAGGAAGGATTCGCGAAGCCAAAGAGGCCAGGGAGGCGATGAGCGTGATGACACAAACGTCTAACATAACATAACTTCTAGAAGAAGAAATTTTCTCTGGTTGGGTTGAAACAAACCAGCCTATCATACATCTCCCATGCCCTCCTTAACCCCCCTCGCCAACCCCTCACAACTCATACAAAACCCAAACGTCGCCCCGGCGTTAAACTCCCAACCCTGCTGCGCATACGCAGGACTACTCGTCCCACATCCATCCGCCAACAAAACACAATCATACCCTTTACTAAACGCATCCGTCAGCGTCCCGCCCACACACTGATCTGTATTCACGCCCGCAAACAGCAGTGTCTTAATCCCTTCTTGTTCCAAGAATTCCTGCAACGGTGTCGTAGAGCCCCAAAGACCAGACATGCGATTCTTATGGATCCAAATATCTGGATTATGAGGCATTTGCGCGCCTTGGGTGTACATGGCATCGAGAGGTGGATATAGCGCTGCGTTCCAAGTATCGCGCATCAACAAGTTACCAGCGTTTATATCTTCGCCGTCGAGTTTCAGAGTGCCGCAGTCTGTGCCTAGACCTTTGTGTATGGTGCGTGAAGGGAGGCCGTGTTTGTTTAACGATTCACTGCCTTCTTTCTGCGTAAATGAGTCGCCACTATTTGTCGGGCCCTTGGAAAGGTTCGCGGAAAAGCCAAATGCGCGCTTCACGCCCGCTGGCATGTTGCGCAGATCGTCAGAGGTTAATCCCCAGTTACACCATATAATCCTGATCCCGGCTTTTCGTGCCGCGGGGATTGCGTATTTGGCCAGATTGTCGCATGCAGCGTGACCGGCGCCGCGAGTCTTGCCGAATGCAGGTGAGAGGAAGAAGTTTTGCATGTCGATTATGATGAGCGCAGATTTGGCGGGCGAGATGGTGATGGGGGTGTGTGTGGTTTGGAGAGTGAGTCTGGGGCCTGGAGAGGATGTGAATGGAGAAGAAGGGTGTGTGAGGTCGAAGCCTGTGGTTTCAGAGTGGAGCCAGAAGTTGTCTGGGGAGCCGATGATGGCATTTGGAAGGGTTTCGTTGGCGGGTGGATTTGACATGTTGAAGGCTTCGGCTGACTGAACGGAGAAAGTCGAAGTTTGCAAGTGACTTTTACTGTCGTGAGGGGTGAATTTTCAGGAGGCGTGTGGTTAAAAGCAGATGGTCATGAGTTGTTACCCTCTCACGAGACTAATCGCACATATATCTGCTATCTCAATGCTCGATGGGGCAGGAGCTCGACACCATCTGCCGCGGCGGGGTAGCTGTGCCTATCTCCGAGATAGCATTATTCCCACGGAGCTGTTATCAAGATGACTGACAAGACAAGTCGTCATGGTATTCGAATCGCGAGGTTTGCGAAAGCGAACCTGAATACTCACAACGAATCCTCGGGCCGGTCCAGGTGGCACATGGCTATTATCAGACGCTCGGGCTCTTCGCCGAAATTGACGTCTCCAATGTATCCAACCTTTCCAAGTCCGACTCTTGTGAAGGCGGCATACGCGAGGTTCTTTGGTCCCCCAGTGTAGACAAGGTCGCTTGTAGTAACGTGTCCAAGGAAGACGGCTTTCGCTTGAAACTCGTGGAAGAGGCTGGCTCTCCGTAGCATATTCTCATCTACAGCATGGTGCAGACGCACGTCGTGTGATCCGTACTCTGAAGCTCGCCATTTCAAGCCAAAGTGTTCTTTGAACATGGCACTGAGCTTGTCGAATTCAATGGTGGACGCGAAGAAGCCCATAAAGACCATAGTTCCACCGTGCTTGATCCATTCAATAGTTGCGGCGAGAAACTCACGGTTCTCCTCTTCCACGATTGCCGAATCTGAGACGAGGATGACGTTCGGCCAGCCAGAACCAATGTAATTGAGAGCGTCGTCTGTCGTGAGGGACTCGTGGACAGCGGTCCGAGACAGGATCTTGGGGAAGAGCTGAGGGTACATTTGCCGTGAGGATGAGGAGAAGCCCTCAAGGGATATGACTAGTAGATTCGGCATTGTGCTCCAGATGCCGAGGGGACGGGTATGCTTGACGGTTCAATCGAACGAGATCAAGACCGCGTGGCGTTGGACAAGTCGATTACGGATTTGGAGCGGCGATCAGATACACAACGGAAAACGGACAGATCATAGACACGGAAAGGAAAGGACGAAGATTTGATAGAAAGCGCGCATGAGTATAAAAGTTTGCTGTCGACCCACGCGCCATTTATTCCATCCTTACTGTCTCATCTGCAACCGGATGACAAAGCAATGTTCAATTCATGCTGCACACGAATCGGCTATAGACGATGCGCAGGAGCTACCTCCATATTGATGCTGAGCGTCGCATAGTGTTCGAAAGGTTGATTGCGCAGAGGCGTCTTCCCCAGCATCGTCACTGCCAAGGCCGTGGTCGCCGCGGCGGAAACGCCTCGGCTAAGTCTTGACGTGAAGCTCCGATGCTATCCACCCCACCCTTGCCCTGCCTCTGATCGATCATTCTTCATAATTTCGACGAAGCGCAAGACATTTTAACGCGCAACACACACAATGTCAGGTCTGAGGATACTAGTACCCGTCAAGCGCGTCATTGACTATGCGGTGAGTGGCCCATATGCATCACGCCGTGCACAGTTGCTGCACATCTGAGATCCAAGATGTCATTGAAGCTTCTCGCTCCACTGGACATTTCCCCCAATAAAAAATCTCAGGGTATACAATTGAAGTGAGCAGATTCTGATGTGCTGCACAGGTCAAGCCTCGCGTCAATCGCGCTCAAACCGCAGTCGAGACCGCAAATGTCAAACACTCGATGAACCCATTCGATGAGCTCTCCATCGAGGAAGCCGTGCGCCTACGCGAACAAAAGAACCACCACTCGTCCGCGCCGAAAGTAGAGGAGATCGTCGCCTTCTCAGCCGGGCCGCCAAAGTCGCAAGACATTCTCCGGACAGCCATGGCCATGGGCGCAGACCGAGGATTGCACGTCGTGGTGGAGGAGAAGGATGCTTTAGAGCCACTTGGTGTAGCGAAGCTACTCAAGAAAGTCGTCGAGGAGAACAAATCGAACCTGGTCATACTGGGCAAGCAGTCCATCGACGACGATGCAGGCCAGACAGGGCAAATGCTTGCAGGCCTGCTAAATTGGCCACAAGCCACACAAGCATCGAAAATCACAATCAACGACCAGACCGTAGAAGTCATCCGTGAAGTCGACGGCGGCGTGGAAACACTCAAGGCGAAACTCCCCATGATTATCACGACAGATCTACGACTGAACGAGCCAAGATACGCGAGTCTGCCCAACATTATGAAGGCGAAGAAGAAGAAGCTGGACAAGAAGACACTGAGTGATTATGGTCTGGATACGGAGCTGCGGTTGAAGACAGTCAAGGTTACCGAGCCGCCAGCGAGAAAGGGCGGCGTCAAGGTTGAGGATGTAGACGGCATGATCAGCAAGTTGAAGGAGCTGGGTGCGTTGTAAGAGATGTACAAAAATATGGACAAATAAGCAAGATCATCAAGACGTTGAACAGGCGCTAACCGTGTGTGTGCTTGAGGGTCATGGTCGTGCTTCGCTTGCAGGAGGTTCGATGCGTCTACTGCGTTTGTCATGTCTTCGGGACCATGACCTACAGTACTCACCTTCACCCATTTCTCGCGTACCTCGTGATCTTTTCAATATACATATCATTCAAAATCCAGGCCACTCATCTCAAGGGCATGTGGTCTAATTGGTAAGACGCCCCTCCGACTTCCGCCACCGCCGCCACCTTTCGGGTTCGCCCGCTTTCTGGGGAGACACGAGTTCGAATCTCGCCATGTCCAAATATCTTTTTGCTACGTCGCGCTCCCTGCCTGGAGGCTTTTTGCCTCGATGTAGAAGTAAACGACTCCAGCACCAGGCAACTTGTAACAACGAATGACGTATGCAATTGCAACTTGTTTCATTACATTCCAACAAGCTCCTTCACAATCCTGACGACCTTTCCAGCACTTCCTATCGAAAGTTGGTAGCCCGCACCAGCATGTCCATACTGTTGTACAACCCTCACTTCCCTATTCCCCATTCCTTTTTCCTCGTCGCCTTGCCTATCTAAGTTTGCATCGATATTTTCAACCTCAATCCTCACACCACCTTCCCTTCCCGGCCGAAGGCCAACCTGCGTCGCAACCACCTCGATCCTGCTACCCCGTATCTCGGGCCACACATCCCTACATCTCTCGATAATCCCCCTCGTAACCTCTTCATCTGGCTCCGCGTCCCATGACCGCGGTGTCTTCGTCCCGCCGAGGACGAATAAGTCGGTGCCAGGGCGTGGAAAGATGTACGTTGCCAGCGGCGAAATGGCGGGATCTTCGCGCAACAAGATCCTGAGAGATGACGGGTCTGGAGGTGGAGTGATGCGTGCGAGGAGAGTTTGGCCGCGGATAGGATAAACGGTTGGGTCCGGGACGAGGGTGTGTGATGAGAGGCCTGTACAATTTACCACGATTGGTAGATCATGATTCGAACCGGAGAATAGGGGGTTCGGAAGTAGTGTCAGAGCGGCAGTGATGGTCCCGGAGAGACCGGACGAAGATGGTAGATTAGCGCGGATGTTGTGGGCGCCTAGGGAGACTGCCTTGGCGAGGAGCTGGGATATGTAGACGGGAGGATTGATGGTGATGGAGGTGTAGGTGTGCCCGCTGGTGCAATTTGGGGGAAGAGCGGAGGGTGGGATGGTTGAGAAGTTTTGGACTTGAGGTGCGAACCATGGAGGTTTCACAACGGATTGAGTGGGGTTTCCTCTATGATGCGAGTGAGTACAAATGCTTTACGTGGTTGCGTGGTAGTATTTGGATGACTGACGAGTAAACACTTATCGGTCGCCGCTGAAACGTTGTCAGTGGCCCAATGTTCAAAAAACATGTTGACAACATGAACATACCGTGAGCCCCATCTCCAAGGCTGCTTTTTCATCATTTTCTATGGCGCTCATCCAGGCGTGATAGCTTTCCAAATCCCATTGACACTGCTCTTTCTGATCCGGACTTGAGTGGGTCCGCCAAATCGCGCCGGCCCTTACACTGCTCAGTCTTGCTAAGTTTGTCTACAAAACATATTGCGCTACCTACCAAGGAGACGTATACTCAATCGATTCATCCCCTGGGAAATGCTTGGCGATTATTGTAACCTTGAAGCCGGCTTCGAGCAGAGAAACTGCAGTTTGGAGCCCAATGACCCCAGCGCTGCATGAGTTGAGCTACTTGAAATCATCGCTTGAAGGTCAGGATGCGACTCACCCTATTACCACGGTATGAGCAGACATTCTGTACTTGTTGTGCAAACGCTGGGCTTTGAACGTGCGAGTTTGTTCAGGCATCCAAAAGCTTGAGTCACGATCTGCAGCCAACTTATCCTTGTTTTGGGTTAGGTCCGGGTTCGGGCACGAGGCGTGAGACGGCAGACGACTACGCCGAATCTAAAGTGCTTTGGCATTCGATATGATAAATTCAGCTAGGAACATGATTTGAGCTTTGCATTTCTGCATGGATCGTACATCGAGACTAGCGGCATTGACTATGACACTCTTGAAGCTACTCGAGACGCCTACACTCTCGGCTACCCAACAGACACTGCTGGCAGTAGATGCAGGACTCTTGCCCAAGTTTTTCAGCGTGTGTATATTAAGTCGCATGGCTGCGTAAGCCTCAAGTATAAGATTAGGGGAGATCTTATTCTTGAGTGGCTGAATGATCGCCGTGCGCAGATCTGGGTCTCTGTTGCAACGAGCACCAGCTCTACGGCATTGGGCACTGTCACTGCGCTTTTGCCAGTTCCCATTGCTATTCCTGCCTAGCCATAGAGTGATCCGATAATAAAATGTCTCCATGTGGGGTTGATTGCATAATCGATTGACTCAAGTCAACTCGATTATATTGAATAATTATATCGTACTGTGAAGCAGGTTGAGGCCATCGTCGAGCAGGTTCAAAGTCCAGGTAAAAATTCTCCAAACCATTCTGGCATTTCCCTCGGCAACGTAGAGCGACGCTTCCTTGTGTAACCTGCATAGGTTGTAGATGTTCTGCCAGGCGTGCGCTTACGTTTCTGAGACGCTCCGCGTACTGCTTTGCTTTTGTTATTATCAAGGTGGGCAAAAGCTCTACGCATTTCTGGATTCTCATCGTAGAAATTGGAGCTTCTTAGCCAATTAAGATAGTCGGCTGGCACTTGGTCTAATCTCTTCCCAGCGTACTTGTCGAGCTTGAGCGTAAATGATGCAAGGCCTTCCCCAGATGATGGGATTTGCGCATCAAGAGGGTGCAGACGTTCATACCTGGTGACTGCCATCGATAGTGATGGCTTCCCCTCGACAATGCCCTTCTTCTTGAGAAATTCGAGGTAGTCTAGTGGTACCTCATCCAAGGTCTTCCCGGTGTGGATGCCAAAGTCGAATCTATACTTGCACTGCAAGGCACTCAAAGAGATCGCTGAATGGGGCTCAGTACTGCTTGGACCTGGAGCGGCGATCATCCTAGCGGGTGCCGTTGAGGGCGGTGGTTTCACTTTAGCCCGCTGACTCGAAGTTGGGGAAGGCAGTGGTGCAAACGCTCGTTCGCCAGCATCAAAGAGCCGCAAGGCAGCACCCAAACCTGGCATACTGTCTGCCATAATTTGATCTCCGCGCAAGAAGGCGATATAGTTCTCTGGGACTTCTAGAAGCGTCTTACCCCGATGCACACCAAAGGGAAAGCGAAACAATGGTGCGGCCTCAGAGATCGGCTGGGTTAAGTGTTGTACGCTGGCTAGGCCGTGCGAGCATTGCGTTTGTGGCAAGTGCTAAGATCGACGTGGGACGTTCGGCTTCTGTGATGGCTTTGATGGCGAGGGCTGCGACGATGGAAATATATCAGAATATGACGGGCTACGTTTGGGTACTCATTGGTGTTCGCAGTGGCTGGGGCGCTGATCGCGCAATCTGGTGACTGGCTACTCTATTGTACGAAGAGGTGACGGAAGTAGGACACGATGCTGGCAGACTACGCAATCCAGCTGTGCCAAATCGTATTCTAGAACATTTTTCTGACGAGGTATGAACATATTTGACCTGCGACGAGGGTGGTGGCGTAGCTAAGATGTTCTGTAATAAGATGTTCACTTCGCGTTGTCTCAGGGGTTCTCGAGGTGTTGCGACAGGCTCATGTCCTACTGCAGATTCAGTAGACATATGATCAACTGATACAAGATCGTCAGAGTGGATATCTGATCCATAGTCTGACGACATCGCGGCTCGTGTGGTGTAGATGCGGGCGGCTGGGTGGGGACGAATGTTGTCGGGAAGCGTCGGAAACAGACGTGGGAAGGTGCACGTCCCTTCCATGATTCAGTGCCAACTTGACGCGCTTTCAGCTGATCATGTGTGACTTCGCCTTCCATCAACTTTTCCATCCATCTTCAACCAGGAACACGAACACCGGTTATGCGAGAATTTGGGTATGCGGAATATGTCTGAACATCTTCCCATGTCTCCCACGTTGCTGCATGCCTCTCTCCGGTGCCGCCCACTCTAACATATCATGCAATTCTCTTTCCCATCCGAATCAATAGCTTCCATCGCGCCTTCGCGGAGGACTGCTGTGTATTTTGTATCCAGCGGTCGTGCACCATCACAAAAGCGCTTTAATCGTGCGGCGCCGATAATTTAGACTTCCTACAGACCTGCGAAGATCACCTTGGCATTGGTTTGGCAGACGTCTTTGTTCCCAATTTCTATAGTGCCATCACCCTCGCCGTTGGGTGCGTCACTCATTAAACTGAATTTTTCCTTTTCTTTTACAAGCAATAGATGGAGATACTTCTCGGAATGGCGAACCCTGGCTAATACAGATTAACCGCGAAGTGTGGGGACGTACTCGGCACAAATCTCAATGCGCATCCAATATACCAAGCCTGATCGACCGCTAGGCACCTTACGGTGACACCCAAAAACAAAGAGCTCTATGCAACACAAGCCCTAAGCAAGAAAATGAGCCATTCGCCTTGTTCAAGGTGCTGTATGAGTCTATCTTAGCCGTCACCGGACTATGCAATGGTCTTGCCAACGACGCAGGCCCAGCTGAAACTGTCTGGCACACTTTACACGCCCAGTATAAGAGGGCAACTCCGGCCTCAGTCGCTGAGAGACTCCACAAATACGGGAATTCTATCATTCACACCTGCTTGCTCATCGTTTTCCCTTAACAAGTATGCTATTTCGCACAATATTCGGTGTCGCCACTCTGGCATTCTGTGTCGAAAGCACATATGTGAGCAATGTAGGCCGCCAAACAGATTGCGAAAAGCAGTACGGCACGTACCCCGAGTACACTGGACCCTGCGAATATGAAAGCAAGTTTCAGTCGTAGCTTTTGAAGGTTGAATTTTATTGACATATCTCCCAGATTGTGGTTCACGTGGCCTCAATTGCAAAGAAAGGAATTGGTCCGGCTGCGTTGGATGGCCAGCTTTTGGTATGTGCGCAGGTGCTGATACATGCAAAACTGACAAATATTTCAGGTTGTCCGTACAGAGACTGTGCGTGTACCAACTATTGAGGGCGCTGAGCATCAGTTCTATGGATCGGAGACTTGCTAGATTTTGAGAAAAAGAGAAACAAAACTTGCATACGCATATTATTGGCTGAGCATACTTTTGCTCTAACGACACTATCACATCCATGGTGTGGCACGCAAACATGATTACTCATCACATGCGCTGGTACTCGAGACTTGTTGAGGCCTGGTCTTCCTTGGACAGATGCGCAGATAAGCGAGCACGAATACAGATATACTTGGAATCTGCC